CTAAGTTGTTCATGGTCACATAATCAAGAATCTGGGCACAGCTCTCATAACAATTTAATCAACGCCGGAGACCAATAATTAATATTTCCACACAAAAGCCATGCCTGAGCATTAGTATTCTCAAACAGAGAAAAACACTTTTTATCTTAAGCCATGTGATGCATAAATTTTAAGGCTTTATTTGTGGGAGGCAAGCTTAAACTGGTCCTGACCGTAAACCACTGGCTCTCATTTTGTGCACACCCCCCCCCCCCATACTGGACAGACAACCCTGTGCACGTGTACTCACACACACAACTCACAACCACATCACCTTTTCCCAATCACGGGTGTGCAATAGTAGATAGCTTTGCAATTGGTTTTGCCTGTACTTTGAGCCACATCTCCCCCTCCCTGAGCTTGCTGGAAGCCAGTAAGTCCTGGTGCAGCCTCACAGTACTAAGGACACTACTGTGGATGAGTGTGACACACGGGATGAGTGTGACACACGGGATGAGTGTGCTGCCTGAGGAAGCCATTCTCAGCCAAACCTATCACTAGCTCAAGCGTTGGCCATTCAAACGAGCGCTTGCTCACGTCCCAGCAGTTTTCCTGTCCTGCTTGTGCAAAGAGTAAAACCAGTTACTGAAACGGATCTAGCCAACCTGAAGGACTGTCCTCCTTACAGGGGGGACAAAGTACGTGGAGGAAAACTCCGGTAGAAAATTTACAAAGGAAACAGGAACAATAATCTAATAGCTGCTGATATCTGGCTGTCTACTGAATAGCTACTAACTTAGTTTGAAGAACAGTAGGTAAAAATACAAGACCTACTAAGATATATGTTCAGAATTAAAGTCAAACAAACTCAAGTCAGAAGCTTTTCAGTTTTTCCACACAGGAACAAGTGCAAAAGACAGTAATGGAAGATTTATGAGGAATACATTTGTCCCCAAAAAAATTAATCTGCTTCCCCCTCCCCCCCATCTACAGTGCACTTAAGTAAATGGGCTGTGAGAAGAAATGGTAGCTGTGAGATGGTTGGATTATGACCAAATACGGCACAGAATCTTATGCTTAAGTCAAATTTGCAGTTTCTGTGGCACAGAAGATCTGAAGTGTCTGAGGGACTGTATAGAAAATACCTTGGCAGCTGGCGAAGCACAGAGCCAGTGAGGTGTGCAGTAAGAATGGTCCTATACCCTTCTTATTTACTGTTTTCATTAATGACTTGGAAGTAACAGATGAGAGCTTGTAAGACAGTAACATGAGAGAAACATATGGTAGGTTTGCCATCTAGCCTAAACAGAGAAATAAGCAGAAAGTGGAGATCAGAGAGTGAGACAGATACCACAAAATGAGGTTCATGTTGGAACTAAGCAGCTAAATCCAGAGGAGACATACTTGACTGAGGGATAAATCTAGACTAGCATGATGGTAAAAGAGTTCTGTTAGGTGAAGCACTCAGCGGCTGGACACCAACTTTGTAAAGTAAGGTGAAATTAAGAAAAAAAGATATTTTTCCTAGGCAGAGGCACAACTTCTAGGCCCAGAGACATATTATTTTCCCAGGTACTCAATTCACACATATGTGAAAAAACTGATTTCATTTGGCACATTACATTTAAAAAAAAAATACAGACAATTTAGAGGCCATTTGGAATAAAAAAACCCAACAAACTGAAAAACAGAAGCAAGTACTAGGGGACCTACAGGACTGACAAAGAAAAAAAAAAAAGAAACCAAAAAAACCCCAAAGGAGTTAAGTATGTGTGTCTTATGTAAGTCACAATTAATTATATGAGCATAATTATGCAGACATACATACCAAGGGGTGGGTGGGAATCTATTCAGTAGCAAAGGCAGGTAAACTCAAGATGAGCTAAATATCCCTGATAGTGAGAAATACTATGCCTTAAGCAGGGCAAGTGACACTGCTTAGCCCCCGTAAGGACCCGTGGAAAAGTGCAAGTATTTTCAGGAGGAAATAGGTATTTTTTACGGCTAGAACTTAAAATTCTCATACGGTAAACAAAGCACTACTGGATGTGGCCTAACGTCCTCAATCAGCAGCAGATGATACAACAATGCTGGAAGTGCAGAGATGCTCCTTTCCCTGTGGGTCCACCAATTCCCCGACCTGCTGTGAGGACAGCAGGCTGAGAAGCACTGGGTTGGAACTGGAATGTGAACCCAGAGCCTTGCTACCCACCACCAGTGCCTTTTACATCCCCAGCACCAGACTCTTTGTGTCCTGTCCTACCCTGCTGTTGTGAAACTCCTGTCCAACTCCGTACCAGATGTGTCTGCGTGTCACCAACATGGGGAACAGCTCAAACGGATCACCTGGAAAATGCTGTTTCAGTGTAAGAGGAGAGCTCACCCTAGGCTAAACCAGAGGATGCTGTTGATGTGGTACCCTCCATCATCAAAACACCAGACTCCTCGTTGTGTCCTGTCCTACCCTGCTGTTGTGAAACTCCTGTCCAACTCCGTACCAGATGTGTCTGCGTGTCACCAACATGGGGAACAGCTCAAACGGATCACCTGGAAAATGCTGTTTCAGTGTAAGAGGAGAGCTCACCCTAGGCTAAACCAGAGGATGCTGTTGATGTGGTACCCTCCATCATCAAATCTGCCACAACGGCGTGGGATTTGTGTCACGGTAGCCACAGGCTTTCACGAGATTTTAGCCCTATAGAGTCAAACAGGTGATGTTCTTATCTTCTTAACGAGAAATAGCGTGTCATATATTTCCTACTCTGGGATGCTTCTCCAAGCCACCGTGGATCCTTTTTAACATCCTCCACCAGACTACCTCATGGAGACCCACCCCTTTTCCTAGGATCCTCCTTCCTCAGACGCAACTCCCCTGGAACCAGTCCCACAGAAATAAAACACTTCCACCAGCCAGGACGGCAAGACCACATTCTGTTTAATAACAACTCCATAAAGGACTGTACATGCTATTTTGAGCTACCTCCCCTCCTTTACTGTGGTTGCTGCCACGTACAGGCATGGAGGTGTATAGTGCCATATTAGTTGCCTAAGTCTATATGTAGTGTGTGTACATGTATGCATGTGGTTGTACATGTATGCATTTATATATATCTTTGTAGAAGTGTTATCTCATAAGTCACATTATCAAAACATGCGAAGTATATCCAACAAAAATTTTCAGGCAAACATGTTTTGGAGCTGGAAGACCAAAGGCAAATCAGACTCATTTTAGTTATTAAGGACTAGTGTGGGACAAGGTAAGGACGAAAGCTTTCACTAGTGGGTCCCTTTCCCTTTTTGTTTTACTTCCATTCAGTACTTTCCCCCCGAACATCAATGAGCCTCTGTAAACACTGGCTTGAAAGAATACATATAATCACCATGCAGCCTCCCCCCCTGCAAAAATGTGTACAGGCTTGGGGGAAGCTCTTTAACTTTGCGCCAACCTCCATTGTCCCATACACTTATGCTAAAGCAGTTTCAGATACTGAGAATACAACATTTGAAGACCCAAGCCTTTAGTTACTTTTAAACGTGCCTCAGGAATCATTCTGCATGCCACCCCTGAGGCTCCCATCCACCACCCTTGTACCTCCCAAATCATCAGCCTGTACCCACCCATATCTGAAAAGAGCTCAAACCAGAGAAATCCTGTTCCTTGTAAAATTACTTTTGAGTCCCAATTTTATACTGTAGGGATTCCCAGAGACTTCCAAACATGCACAACATCCACAAATTGGAGAAGGAAAATTGAAGCCAAACAAGAACATATACCTGCAAAAGAGCTTTTGGCTTGCTGCATTGCTCACACATGCAGTATCTGAAAAGAAGGGAAGTCCACCTGTACTTAGTCTCATGGGAACTTGGCAGAGCTCTGGAAGAGGGTTCTTAACCTTTTGGCCTCCAACTCTTGACTGGATTTCCACACCCAATGAAAATGAATCCAGAAGGCCAATGAATCTGGACTAGATGCTTTTATCTTCTTAGAAGTAAACCTTGGTGCACGATCTTGTCTCCAGAACGGAGAAAAGCCTTTTTAGATGTTTTTGTCCTGTTAGCAGGAACATTTGATCCCTTATGGGAAAGCAAAAAACAAGACTAGGTTTCAGAGGGCATTTAAAATGTCCCCAGTCAAAGGAGATGAGAAGGATGAGAGCAGCATTCTCTCCACAGAACACTGCAAGGTCTTTCTTCCTGGAAGACAGCAGCTGTAATTCCTGCCCATGGCAGAATAATCTTTAAGGTCCCTTCCAACCCAAACCAGTCTAGGATAACACTCTTGAACAAGTCTTTACAGTTTTAGTAAACATACTCTTTCTCACAGAGTCGCAGCCTGTCTAAATCCTTCCTCTTCCAAGAATGTGTATCTGCACTGGAGAAATAAATCAGAGAGGTATTTTCTTTTGCGCAGACCAACACTGACAATCATACAGCTTCTCTTGGTTCCCAAGGAAAAAGCAACACTTTGTCCTGCCTATGCTGGGGAAAAATGTCACTGCAAGGATGGAAATTAACCCTAATGTTATAAGCACAGGTCTTACACATCCATTTGTTAACATAATAACCATTTGTCTTCTTCCCTACCCGGCTCAGTCCATGCAGCTGAGAGAGCAGGGTGTCCCCAGCAGCCTTGCACCTGACGTTGACTTTAGGGCTTGGATTTGTATTTGAGACTGTGTTTTAATGACTGCAGGCTGTTCTACACGTACATGGAGTTCTAACAGGCACTACTTTACTCACATTCTCCCTGTTTATTTTTCCTTTCCCTGAGCCATGGCATAGAAATCTTTCCCTGTCAGATTGAGACAGGGGAGGAGAATCCAAGATGAAGCTGTTACTTACCTATATTTTTCTACATATAAGGGCACCAGCTGCTGATAATCTCTGTATTGGAACTGATTTGTTTGTTTGTTTGTTTTTTCCGTTTGTTTTTACTTTTGGAAAAGGTCAAACAGTTAGTTTAAGGGAAATGCCTGCTTGTTTAGAGTTGTCTGAACAAGGAACATGGGAAATTCTATGTAAGGGCACCAGCTGCTGATAATCTTTGTATTGGAACTCATTTGCTTGTTTGTTTGTTTTTTCCTTTTGTTTTTACTTTTGGAAAAGGTCAAACAGTTAGTTTAAGGGAAATGCCTGCTTGTTTAGAGTTGTCTGAACAAGGAACATGGGAAATTCCATCTGGGAAAAATTAGAAGAGCGAGCTTAGACTATGACAACGTTGCTCTGCTCTCTAGAACATTTAGAGGTGATTTATTTTGGTTTGTTTCTCCTTCTAGGTAATTAACAATAAAACAGTTAAGGCAAAATGAGCTAAATTTAGATATTTCAGGTTTTCAATGAGAACAGAACTCACACTACCTTCATTTGGACGATGACTAAGTTCTAAGTTAGTGTATTTCTTATACGATTCCCCTGAAGAATTAAGCAAATTGTGAAACTTCATTTGGATGATGACTAAGTTAGTGTATTTCTTATATGATTCCCCTGAAGAATTAAGCAAATTGTGAACTGTTTTTAGAAGATGATGAAGCCAGTAGGTGCCCAAATTCAGGGAGGTCTTCCTATGACTGCACCAGTCCTGGAGCTACAGCTTGTATAGCAACTCTACACCTGCAGCCAGTAGGTGCCCAAATTCGGGGAGATCTTCCTATCACTGTCTTATAGAAAGAAGTGTGGCTTGGACCAAGGAGTACCATAAGCTGCACCAGTCCTGAAGCTACAGCTTGTATAGCAACTCTACACCTGGGCCATTCTGCCTACACAAAGCTTCCTACCTGTGTTGTATAAACATAAGACATGAAGCTTTTCTTGGTCTTTTTCCCAAGCCTGTCTCTCAATGTCTTTCCCTCTCTGGCTAGACTTCTTGCCATTGCACAGAACACACATGGGTGTCCTCAGCCTCTACTGTTGCACACTATCTTGCCTCACCTCCATACCTATACCTCTGTCAAATGAAAAGATCAGTTCCCTTCTCTCCTGTTCTCTTTCCTGGGCCCACAACTAATCTATTTTAGCCACTGGTGCCCTCAGCCTGCACTGTTGCACACTACCTTGCCTCACCACCATACCTCATACCTCTGTCAAATGAAAAGATCAGTTCCCTTCTCTCCTGTTCTCTTTTCTGGGCCCACAACTAATCTATTTTAGCCACTGTTGTACACAGTACATCATGCACAGGCTCCGTCTAGGCGTGAAGTGCCATTCTGCATCTCACACCAGCCTGGAATTGGCTTAAAGATAGGGATAAACTTCACCTCCAACAGCTGTGCTTCACTCCTGCACAAGGTTCTGCCTCTTGCAATTACAGGAGAGGACTTATAAGAGTCTTTAGCTGCCATGGAGTGTAATCACTGAGTGTAAATGAGATGTGTGCATGTTAATTTTATTAATTCCATGAGTATATCAAATTATTCATCTCCTCCTGCCCAATTGCAATGGTTTAGCTCCCTGCTATATGTCCTCCCTGGTACCCCAGCTGGATTCTTTCTTCTCAGACAGGTATTTCCCAACCAGCTGAAGCCAATTTAAGTTGCATCAGCAACCAAAGAAATACTCTTCAACATGATGTGAAGAATACGGTCATATGACGAATAAGCTCAGTGATGCTTGCCCCACCAAGAGACAATACAAGGAGCTGATCCCACTGAACCCCTTATTTTGATAGGGGACTGGGTTAGTTTTCAATGGGGCCAGTTCCTGAGCAGCCAGAGGAGTGGTAGCACTGCTGCTTCTTAGGCAGTAGAAGTATATAGCTGGTGGTGATGCAAGGGAGGAGGCATGGCAGCTCCTTTCAGCAGCTTAGACTCAACATGAAGATGACTGCACTTTCAAAGTGCACTTACCCAGTTTGCCTAACCTGATATAAAGGCCAGCTGCTGAGAATAGTGCTCTCTACCCCTCTGCTCTTCACTTTTATGGTAGGATGAAAGTGCAGTGGCTTGCTCTGGGGTCAGCTACGCATCAGCATCTGCCCAAGGATTGAGGGAGGTGAGCAGAGTCAGGACAGAGGGCTGCCTCCTTCACAGCAACTCACCATCTGATCAGCTTAGAGATAAGGCTAAACTCTGTTCTCTGGTGCAAGCCTATCATGAAAGGTGATGCTAAAATTTTTAAAGGGGGGAAAAAAGCAAGTGGGTGACTTGTCAGCAGCTTCCCAGAAAAAGAGAATGATTTAGAGGCACAGAAACTGAAAGAAGCAGATTGACTCCTCCATCCCAGAGCCTGAGGTAATGGAGTTGAAGAGAGCTCACAAAGCATGCAAAGATTACTATAAAAGAAAAACTTAAGAAATTTTCCCTGATCAGACATGAGCAATAATGGGACAAAGAATAAGAGAGAATTTTCTTGCAGTGGAATCGGAGGTCTTTTTTCATTAGGGTGACCTGCATTTAAGCCTTCCTTCACGTTCAGCACAATTTCAACAAGTTCCTGTCGAAGGCAAAGGCCTGAGGGGAAAGACGGGAATCCTCTACCTCTGCTGCTTCAAGAAAACCCAACAGGTGAGCCAAGTCAGGGCAGAGGGCTGCCTCCTTCACAGCAACTCACCATCTGATCAGCTTAGAGATAAGGCTAAACTCTGTTCTCTGGTGCAAGCCTATCATGAAAGGTGATGCTAAAATTTTTAAAGGGGGGAAAAAAGCAAGTGGGTGACTTGTCAGCAGCTTCCCAGAAAAAGAGAATGATTTAGAGGCACAGAAACTGAAAGAAGCAGATTGACTCCTCCATCCCAGAGCCTGAGGTAATGGAGTTGAAGAGAGCTCACAAAGCATGCAAAGATTACTATAAAAGAAAAACTTAAGAAATTTTCCCTGATCAGACATGAGCAATAATGGGACAAAGAATAAGAGAGAATTTTCTTGCAGTGGAATCGGAGGTCTTTTTTCATTAGGGTGACCTGCATTTAAGCCTTCCTTCACGTTCAGCACAATTTCAACAAGTTCCTGTCGAAGGCAAAGGCCTGAGGGGAAAGACGGGAATCCTCTACCTCTGCTGCTTCAAGAAAACCCAACATTTTCATGTAGTGCAGCTCTGCTTTACAAGGGCTTTGTGTAAACGAACAGCAGGGCTCAGTTTCTTAGTAACTGTAGATCAGGGATACTGAGCTTACCTTTCCTTCTTGTTTTCAGCTTCACAAATTCACTTTGGGCTCTGAGTATTTGGCTGGACTCTCTCCAACTCATCCCTCCCCACCAGGATAAAGGAGCTGCAGGCCAAATCTTGCTCACGGAGCACCTGTGACTTCCATATGTTTGAATAGGTGTAGCTATATAATAACGGCTTTTCTGGGAAATGTACAGTAGGTCCCAGGTCCCTCTCTCTTATACTGGATACCCAGAAGCAGCAGGCCTGTTACACAAGAAAAGGCCGGGTTATACAAACCATTTTCCATTTTTAAAGAGACTCATTCAGCTTAAGGTGCTCGCTCAGGTAGCAAGTCTGGATGGGCAGACCTGCTCTCTCCAGTCAAGCTCCTGATAAACATAGATACACGTCTCTTTTAGACCAGGGAGAGATGATGGAAAATAGTCTTTTTCTTTTTTTTCAGAAAAAGGCTGAAATTTTATTATTCACAGAAAGTCAAGACCTTTATGAAAAAAAAAAATTTAGTCTGAATTCACAGAGAATGAGAGTTCTACAGCTTTTTATCTACAACTTTCTGGAGATCAGGTTATGGAATTATACAGCAGGGTATAATTCTCTATCCCATTCCACAGAGTTTAGGAAACTCTACAGATAGGTTTTCTCTTTCTATTGAGCTCCATAGAATTTTCTATAAGGTCAATTTTTTCACACTTTTTCCCATCTAGATAATTCCCTGTCACTGCCTTGCATGGAGATAATGCACATCTTCTAGACATCAATCAGACATCTCAGTAAACATACCACATGTCCACATTAAAAGAAAAAGAAGCCCTGGACAAGCTGACCCACTTGTCCCAATCCTGTAAACAACACAGAGGGATCATTAGAAGCTACTCTTAAAGTTACCGTAAACATCCAGATTGGTCCTGGAGAGGCACATGGGAACAAAATGGTTTGGAGAAAAAAGCAATAAGCCACCCAAATCTTCTCCCACAAAGGAACATACCCGACCATTTTTGTTTCCCTGAAGGCTTTTTAAAAAAGAAATAAGAAAAGGTTAACACTTACTCATTTGTCATCTGCTGGGGTGCTCTTGGCACTTGCCCCTCCTCCCTGTTCTGATTAGTGAGATTTCCTAGGCCTTGCTCCAAGGCTAGACCCAAACCAGTTCAGGACAATGACCTAGCACTGGCCCTCCTGCCCAGGGGAGGTTAGCATCTGAACATGTAAACATTTTTAAAGAGATATTGAAAGGTCATCATTCGGGACAAGAGCTACCTCCTTAGAGAGATGTAAGCAAGCCCAAGCAAATGGGTAAAAAAAGGTGGTCACAAAAACTTTTATCTCCTACCTACACCAAATCATCAGTCTTATTTAAATACCCCAAAGGTCTTTCCTTTAGAGGTGCAACGGAGAGGGAAGACAGATCCACCTGAGGTGGACTCGGCTGGAAAGACCTGGGCGTTCACAGAGGAGACCCTCTTCATGCAGCTGCCCGTCTAAGGGGGAGAAAGCTGAGTGGGGTAAAGTTCTACCTGAGAGTCCCATTCGTACTTTCCATAATTCCTGGACATCCTCTGCTTTGCTTGCCAGGAGCTGTCTGAACTCTGACACTTGATGACACTACTTCAGTCGTATTTTGTTCTCCTCAGACATTCTTCCCTGCAAATACGCTGGGACTAAACCTGAATCAGGAAAGGAGGATGTGTCACTCTCCTGTCATCCAAAAAATACACCGAGCCTGAAGAGAGGAGGCAAAGAAGAGACAAATGTATCATGAATTAAACAGTGTAGATATGAGTCAGAGTAAGTGAGAAAGAGTTGCCCCTGGGACAGTATGGCAGTGTCCAGGCAAATTCCTTCCTCCAGCTCACCAGATCTAGCATCTGATCTAAACCCATGCTTTGCTGATGCTTCCTCACAAGAGGTATTGCAATTAAAACTCAGCACTTGGATAATCTCTGCTGGTTCTGTTTGGTCCTCTGGCAAAATCGACAGCCTTGTATAATTTTTACTTTTGCTTTTGTCCCTGTTTATTTTCTGGTGAGAGCTTAAAAGAAGACAATTTCTTCAATTTCCTTTCAACTCCCCCCCCCCCTCAAAAGGAGGTCTGTAGAAACATGGCGAGGAATTGCAAGAGACCAAATTCCCCCTAAGTCAATGAACTGTATTTTTTTAACAAAAAAAATATAGAACCCGTACAAATAGGGAAAACTCCTGAAATTAGCTTTCTCCACTCCTAACAAAGAGATGCGAGGGAAAAACAAACAGACCAAGTACTGAGCACTATTTACATTGCTTGGGGGTAGGGAAACAAAAGAAGAAAATATAGGCAGGAAGAAGAAATAAATAGGAGGAAAAAACTTCCTCTCACCCCTTTTCCTTCAGCTACATTTGGCACTGCAGAAGGAGTGGCAGAAATGGGAAAAGTGCAGTATTTCTGTTAAGTGATGACTGGAGTACAGGCCTTTCCCACCGCTAACTGCTTTGTTAGGAACACTTACCCAGCAATATAAAAAGGTTAAAAAAAACCCCAAAAACCGAAAACTCCAATGTAAACTGGATTATCTGTGATCTCATAGCTGTACACGCTGTTCCTGGATCAGCTGCCTACTCTCTGGGTCTCCCCATACTGCTGGCAAGGGAAAAGACAGAAGGATACAGCAGCAGCACCAAGACGGACATGTTCTCAAGCCCCCCCTACAAGAGTCAGCTTTTTATGACTATCTCTGTAGCTGAAAATGTCCTTTCCACTGGCATCCAGTGCCCAATGCCAAAAAAGACGCACCGCTCTTGCCAGCTCCTGGGAAGGTGGAAATGTCAAAGAGAGAAACAAACACGTGAAAGGTTAGAAAGAGACCAAAGTGTGAACATCTGAGAGCGGGGTGCGATGCGTGTCTGCATCCGTCCTTCCTCGCCGCGGCGGAGCCGTGCCCGCAGAGCCACACCATCTGTCCTGCAGCACTGCCCCTGCCCACGGAGCAGTGGTTTGCATCCACCCAGCCTGCAATTTCACATCAAGGTGCTATCGAGGATCTGGTTACACAGAGGAACCTTTCAAACTCGGGACGGGCTGTATTGAATACAGCCTTATCCTCTGCATCAGCCACAACCACAATACTAGTGCAATCTGTTATTTGTAAAGCCATTATCTTCATTTTAACCCAGTTTATATTCATATATTCTATCCAAGGGTCCACACAGCAACACCCATTCTGCCGCGATGGATTCTAGCCCCATAGCCGCTCTCTATACCAAGCCTGTCTCATCAGCCATACCCCCAGTACCAGAAGAGTTTGTATCCATAGCCAAGACTTTGTATTAAAAATATTTAGAAATGATTTACCAATCCAGATCTCTCCAAGCACCTCACATGTGTTGCCCACAGCAATGAAAATCAAAAATACGTGTCCATGGCGGAGGGGAAGAAGAGGTCTTCATGTGTCAATCACTTTGAGACTTTGCACTTGTTTAAAAAAATAATTAAATGTCAGGAATGGAAGGTGTGTCTGCTCGGAAGTATGGGGAGCTGGAGAGAAGAATCCCTGTCATTTCATTCCTTGCCACCCCTCTCTTTGTTCAGCAGTGATGAGAACTTCACAGAAAGCATCAGTTGTTTGTTTCTCCCTCTTCCTCATCAAAGGACTGCACCCCAGAGGAGGTGACGTCTGAGACTTTGCGGCTCAGTGCAGCATGTTCCATCTCCTCTCGAGGAGACAGTGATTCCAGGTCCCGGCACACTGCATCATCCTCCTCTGGAGAGGGCTTCTTGTTTAGGAGAGGAGCCTTCTCCAGCCGTGGGTTCCCTTCATCCTCAATGTGGTCCTCCATGTACGTGCTGGACTCAGCCCCACCCCCACCCTGAGCAGTCTGCAGGGGCCACACGTGGACCAGCCCCGTGCTCTGGATGAAGTTCTGCTCCTGCCGCTGTTGCTGCAGCTGTTGCTGCTGGAGAAGGCTGCTCTGAATCAGGATGCTCTCCTGAAGGTTTGTCTGGGACTCATCAAAATTCTGGCCTAAGTAGGAGCCGGTCGCTGGGGAGGCGATGAGGGACTGGTCACTGGTCTCCCAGGCATCAGATGAACCTAAGCAATACATGCCCTGCGAGACGTAGGAATGAGGCCAGCTGTCATACTGCGTCTGGGCCATATGCTCTGCAAGCAAAAGAGGGAAACAACACAGTTAGACACCCTCTCTAGGCCAAGCTGGCTCCTTCAGACAGATAGCTTGGTTGCCTGAGCGTGGCACTGCACTTAGAGGGTAGATAAATGCTTTAGAGGGGAGGAGGGTGAAGAGAAAAGGTAGTTCTAGGCAGTGAGTAGATTAACATGATTATAGCCACAATTGACTGCAAGAGCTGATAGCTTTCCCCACTTGTGCCCGAAAAAGGGCAAAGGAACTGGGCTTTGAAGCTTCCCGGTCAAGATTAGATTCCTTGGACAGCTCCACAAAAATCTGCTAGATCCCAATTCCCAAAATTGAGGCTACCCTGAATAAAACAAAGTAGAGGGAAAGAGAGCAACACAGCAAGAGCAGGAAAGGGGCGTTTCAAGATTAGCAAGAGGCACTGTGGCTCACCTTGGCTCTCCATGAGCTCCTGATAGTTCTCGGAGTAGTTGCCTGCTGGGTTCTCCTGATTTGAGTTTACACTCACATCCTCACCATCCATGGAGGACCAGGCCATGAGAGTTGCCTCAGAAATGGCAAATTGCTCCATCACCCCTGTGCCAAAGGAGACAGGGAGGGGAAGCAGCGACGTGTGAAAGTCTTCACTTCTCACCACCCCCTTTGACCTCACCTCTTGGTCACTCTGCCCCACTCTTGTCCTATCCCAGCAACACCCATCACCCACAGTCAGCCCTCACCCTCTCCACCTCACATTCCATGAGCAATACTCCAACCGTAGTCTTTCATCTCCTCCTGCCACCTGAACCACCCACAGGCCTCCCCCCGCCCCGAGTGTGGTTTTGTTTTTTTTCCAGATTCCTGTACTTTGGTCTCTCAGGGATTCTGCTCTGGGACATCCCAACCATTCCAATCCACGTGCCAAGAAGTTAGCGCTACCTGCAAGGAACCGGGCTTCCTTTTCACCGTCACTCAGGTCTGAGTAGGCATCAGCGTCCTTGCGGGCCGTCTCATGCGTGTGCTGCTGCTGCTGGCTGTTAGCCTTGCCCCAGCCTTGCCATTCAATCATGTGAGCCACCCGGCCTTGGCCCATGGCCGTTGGCTTTGTGACATGGTCCTTCATGCTGCGAGATATCCCTAAGGGGCCAGACATTAGAAAACAAGGAGGGGCTATTACACAGCTCCAGGGTTGTCCGCCATGCTGTTCACCTCTCTTGAAAGTGGAGCTTCTCCCCTCCTTTCCTGACGGGGCTCAGGCCTGAGGGTGGGTGTCTCCCATCTTTCACTGTATCACTCTCCGGGAGAGTTTCTCCATCTTTCCTTGGACCGGCTCTCAGAATGGGGGAAAAAGGAAACCCCAAATACGAAAGACCATTTCCTTCCTTGCCTAGAATCCATTTAGGACAGGGTTGGGCATGAAGGATGAAGCTGGAAGTGAACACACTAAGAAACAGAAAATGGGGTTAAACCCAAGACTGTTTGAGGGGGAGCAACTGAAGATGTCTGAGCTGGGGTGCACAGCAAGAAGCCAACAGGAGTAAGACAAATCTGTTCTTTGATAGGGCAACAACTAAGAGATTTCTGCATCTAGAACCACGGTGACGGAGACTCCTCTAAGGCCTCAAAAAGGCAAGAGTCAGAAAGGAGCAACAGAAGGGGAGAGCAACAGAGGGATATGGGAAGAGGCACAAAGGCCTATGGAGAGGAACTGCCAAGGATAAACGCAAATTTTGAGGACCTCACCAGAGAAAGATGATTTAGCCAAAGCCCCAATCCCATAAGCATTGGAGTTGCGTTTCAGCTTGGGAAGGATGGAGGTCGTGTCTTCCATGGAGAGCTGAAAAGAGAGAGAGCATGAAGAAATGATATACAGAAAGGGGAAAAGGAAGTGAATTAAAGTGAGAAATCAGTTTAAGGATTCCAGAAGGTACGGGGAAGATGAGGAGCAGAAGCAAGCAACAAGAAAAAGAACAAAAGAAGGGGAGGAAAAATGAGAGGGTATTTAACCAGGACTGGATATTGCATAGTTTTGGGACTGAGCATGGCAAGGTCAGTGGGAGAGGCAGAAGCAGGCTGTGAGAAGCCCCCCTTTGGCTGCTGCCAGTCCTCCATAGACATGCTGCACTGTTCCCAACTCTTTGTTAGAGATGCAGGACATGGCTGATGGACAATTCAGGGAGCTGACAGTGGGGAGCTGACAATGTGATAGGCAAGACACAGTAATGCATCATACTACAGATACTAATTTTTATATGATACTTTTGGTTTTCACTGTATCAGTGATGCACCCTCTTTCAAGCACCTACAACTACCTCTAAAGAAATGAGGTCTACAGTTCTGCTTAATTCCCTTTACTCTATGTTCATCCTCAGTCCCTGAATAACAAGGACAAGAAAGTACTGGGACAGGCAGCAGTCACAAACATCATCATAAAACACAGTCCCTCAAGATGAACTCATCAGGCTTCTTCAGAGATGCCAGGCATTGCATACGAGGCTTAATTTTTACAAGGGCTAAACAAGCATTGCTTCTGCTCTTCATTTCAACCTCTCTGAAAATCAAGCCCAGCATGTTTCAAACACAAAGGTACTCAAAAGCAGTGACCATGACACTGAAAATTTTAAATCCTGACACGAAGCAAGCATTTGGTCACAGACACAAATCTCATGAAACGTCAGAGGAGCAATAACTAGACAAATAGTTGGAGGCAAAGGAAGGCATTGTAAAGATGCTGAACGGCGTATAATCCCAGTCACTTCTGAAAACATGAGAGGTGAATTTCTCTGGAAATTGAGTGGAAACGCAGCGGCGAAGGTGTCCTGTAGCTTTGGAGCCAGGAATGTCTGTGTGTAACATGCAAAGTGCAGAAATCAGAAAGCAGGGGGAAGAACGGTTAAAAAGTGAAAGGTGTAGCTGGGAACGCAGCCCTTGTTCTGCGACGACTTTTCTTTGGTGATGAAGCTGGTTGAAGAATATCCAGCTGTGCCCCCACTGGTCATTCTTGCCTGGGTGCTGCTCTTCAGTATCCACCCGTTTGTTTCAAGACAGCCTGGGGGCTCTGCAGTGAGACATCTCATGGAAAATGTTCCAGAAAAGAAAGTGAACTGCAGAAGGTCTCTACCACAAGGTCTCTACCACAAGGTCTCTACCACTACGAGGCTGGAGAGCTATGACATGAAGGCAGGAATGAATGGGAAGGGGAGGAAATTCATGAGCCAGCTTTGATACCAAAGAAGAATTACAGGGAGAAAGAGCTGCATTAGGAAAGAGCTCTATGGAGTCAGAATGGGTTGGAAAAGGGGGAACTGCACATAAGCACTGTCTTTGAGGAAACATGACTTTGTGTACCTTTATTTGAGCTAGACAGAAGTGCAGTGAGGGAAAACCTGCCAAATTTCTTCTAGAGAGTGGCTGCATGCACCATAATTTTCCTGCACAACAGGCAAAAGATCCCAAGCACTAAGTGCCACAAGAAAAGAGATGTCAGTAGGGTGAGGGTTAGTTGTGCTTTCAAACCACAGAGAACCAGAAAATGACCAATGTTTAAAAGTTTTGAAAGTATCTGGAATTTGAAAATGCTTACAATACCAAAAATGCAGCTATAAGCAGCTGCCTTTCCAAGAATAAAAAAACCAACACAACATCAACACTAATTTATGTCATGTTTTTTTAAGCCTCCAGAGCAGAAAAAATAATTTGGTAGCACTAATACGCATTATTCCCCTTTCTGCATGCTGTTTTTGCATTAGTGAAAAAGAAAAAAATAAAATCATATTTTTTCATGGCATCTTTTCACATGTTATTAAAATGCTTGCTTGCTTCTTCTTCCACTTGTTAACTGAAGTTAACTGGTGCTGACCATCTCCCCCAGGGGACATTAAGAATTCTTTTACTTTCTGTATGCAACCGCAAATGAGGGATATATTTCTCCCAAACTCCTGGAGAAGATCAAATGATGCTCTAATCAAAGACTACCGTGGACAGACAGCTTTTTCATCTAGCAGTGCCCAAAAATCCCAAAAAGAGAACATATGAAATGACATACATTTGTCCCAAAGAGGACAGGTGGTGGACAGGACAGCCACCTGCAGATCTAAATACCTGCCAGACAGCAAAAGACCCAGAGGTAAACAAAAATTCATCACCATCCTCTGAATCTTAGACAATTCCCAGAATTTCAGTGGCACTAAAGATATTCAGTCATTTCCATTCTGGTCTCCATTGTATCCAGTGACAGACAAGTCCTGGTCTTCCTATGACTAGAAATGTGAACAGCGGTTTGACGCATACTCACGTTGATACCATCCCAGGAGAAATCTGTCCGTGTTTGCTAAAGAAAGGAAAGAAGGGCATCGCGTTAGTGTAACACACAAGTTGCAAACAACCATCCATGCATCTCTCTAGCATTTTGCCATAATCAACAGCCAGCACTTTATCTGGTGTGTTATAAAAACACTTGTGTCCTTCAAGCTGGCTTCGTCCCCTGCTGTTGATTACGGTGTCTGTAGGTACCACGGTGTTCGAAGGTACAATAGCAAACTGGATGAGAGAAAGAGTAAGAGAGAGAAAAGCAAACACCTTTTCATAAGGCTCCCCTTCAAACGGCTCTTGGTTGCTAAATGCTGCAATGCTGGCACCCCTGCGTGGGAGCTGCATCGCTTTGAGGCTAACACAAGGAGGAGCTACAGTACCTACGTATTTTGAGTAGAATACAGCAAGTTACAGACTTATTTTCTTCTTGTAGTTTTTCAGTTTGTCCATTCTGACCCACTTTCCCCTTACACACTACGTCCATTGCCCACATCAGCCACTACAATCACCAATTACCCTGCATTTCCTCCAGCTGGGAGAACTCACAACACAACATCTTGGGTTTGGGATGTGGGCGCTCGGGAAAATTTAGATCAACCAGTTACACCTATGGTATCTATTGACATAAATCAGAATGTTCACTGAGGTATAGTTTATGCTCATTGACTTTTAGATCTGCATTTGATTTAACTGAATTTTCCACACAAGGTTGGGCCCCACAATTTCTGCCAGGATTCTGCGACACTCAAAGTTTCTTGGAGTTACATTCCAAGCCAGCAAGGTATATGAAGGAAATAAAAACACCTACACATTAGCACTTTGGAAGGTTTTGCAAATTGTACGTTATTTGTTAATGTCATTTGTGAACGTTATTTGTGATTTCTCAAATATTATGTGTTTAAAATAGCTTTGACCTTTTTATTAGTCATGACTGCATACACTGAACCTTACAGAGCTGAAAATTCAGGTACGTAAGATTGCAGAAGCTGCAATAATTCAGAACACCAAGTGAACCAGCCCTTGAGATACTGCATGGGAAATCAATTGCCAGCGAGTTACTAGTAAACGCATCCCTAAAAATCAAAATGGAGACAAATGTGATTCTTCAAAATATTTTATGGCTGCACTGAAGAAGCTGGGACATAGTGTTGGACATTTCAATGAATTCATTACTCAAGGAATGCAGACCTACAGGCTTGTCAGAACTGCCACAGAGTTATCCATGTTCTGTTCCACTTCAGCCACAAGTGGTTAAAGGCACTTTCATTTGCAAATTCTTATTCACCATGGATATTCTGAAAGGAGTGACTCAACCCTATTCAGTGCAATCCAAACTAAAAAGATATGAAAGCCCAACCCTCAGGTGCACACCAACACTCTTGCCCTCTCCCAGACTGATGCCCCAGTGAGGCAAAACACCCATTTCTGAACTCAGAAAGCATCAAAATTTTCTGATCCCCCTGGGTAAGAAAGCCTGGGACAGGCACTCACCTCAGTGGAAGGTCGATGGAAGCTGCTGCCATGCAGTGAGCTGGTGCTGTCCATGTTGATTTGGTCCACATCTTTCAGCCCCTTCCAGTCTACTGCAATCACCTCGTTTCCTGTGGGAACACATCTAGTCAGGCTTCTGGATGCCACTACAACTTGTTCCAGCAGTCTTAAGCCAAGTCAGCTCAGCATACAGGAGAATCACTGAGTGTAAGGCCACAATAGCCTCAAATGAGACCTTCCTATTTTAATCAGACCACCTGTACATCATCAACAATTACATTTCACACAGGTATCTCCATGTGAAGACCAGTCATTTATGTTTTTCTCAAGCATAATGTATGCTTGGCTAAAGCACAGCTCCCCAGAAGAAAAAGCATCTAGTCATGATGTGTGACAGAAAGAACCAATTCTTTTGATATCCTGCTCCAGTATTAAACCATCATCACTTAAGAAGTCATTTCTCTTTTCTCATTTGAATTGGTCTGACATCAGCTTAGAGCTGCTGGTGCCCTTGCTTTGCTGTTCTCAGCAAGATTAAGACCCTTTTAACACCTGCCATTACATTTCAGGAAAGTTATTCACACACTTGCTTTTCTACTTGACACACTAAACAGACTGAGATCTTTAGGTTTCTTACTGTATTCTTCCAGCCTCCTTAATAAATCTGTGTCTCTTTTTAAAAGGCATCTCAAATTTTCCTGGTCTTCAGAACGTGGACATAAAAGCATACACAGTAATGCAGGACTGCTCTCATCCATTCTGCTAATAAAGTTAAAACTTACTTGCTGCTCCTCATCACATTAACCCTTTGTGCCCTAACCTTGCAGTAGATTCTCACACTCAGCTGCCTGTTCACTCAGATCCCTATGCACTCTGCACAGCTTCCCAGGGTTTTGAATGGGATCGCCCGTTCAAAAGTAGAGTCTGTGCCCTTTGATTTCAGATGTATTTTAATACCACTTAAAGGGTCAAGAAAAATTAAATATTAACACATAAAATAGAAATTATAAAACTGAATGAATAAAGATAAAAAATAAAATTGTTCCATAAAATGAAATTGTAATTAAAGTGAAACTAAATGCAAAGTGGCACACTTTAAATAGTCAACCCAAGTAACCGGGACTGCACTGTGTGGGTGCTCTGTCCAGTTTTCAATTTACTATGCCTTCACCCTTTGTGCCAACCTCAAAATCTGTTAAAAGTTATTTGCTCCCATGTCATGAAGGAAAGGTTGTATTCTGTTTAAACTCAAGCCTTTCGGAACGTGGCAAGAAATATAACTCTCCAAATGATCATCTATTCCTGGGATAAATTCAGCAATCTCTAGTCTATTTGGTAGTCTAGTTCATGCCACTGAATGTGAATTGTTCTATTTTCATTAGCTTTTAGCTTTTTATTTACTCCTATAGCAAATTTCTCCTCCACAGACATATGCAAACCCCCTTGCTCGTGCTGGCAGCTCTGGCATGTTTACACCAGTTCATCACTGCCCTTCTCCAGTAGAAATGGGATGCTCTGCTCCAGCCTACCCAGGCCTGCAGGAGGGACCTAGGCACTCACGGGTGGGAAACCTGAGGTACTCATCAGTGAGAATCAAAATGAAAAAAGAGTAATTTGGTCCCTTAAAAGGGCTAAACATGGCGGGATGAGAACCAGCAGAAAGCAAATGCTATTTTGACTTGGTGTCCACTGCACCATCACATCTCGTAATTTTCTGCTGTGCAAGAAGATCTCTCTTCCTGAGAGAACCAAGGCGTATTTTCCCCTTCACACACAGGTATGTTTCTGTTCATCAGGAAAATTAGAACAAAGTGCTTTAATAGCATCCCCTATATGCCTCTGACGAGGCTGAGTAAAGTTGCTGTTCCCCGAGTTGTAGATTCCTGCAACTCGGGGAACTTAAATGAAAAAAAGGAGGTTCCTGTACTACACGCTACAAAGGTGAGCAAAGGGGTCAGACACAGCCAGACTTCAGGAGGTGGCAGGACATGGCTACGACGAGCAATGACAATGACCACTTTTCAAGGTTGTGATCTTCTTGGCTGATTTTCTTGATACGCACATGCATACATTCGGCCTTACTGCGCTCAATTATTTATTTCTAATTGTGATTGCTACTAACCACGATTAGTTCATGTGCTATGAGCGTAGAGCTGAATTTGTGTTAAATTCAGATCAGATCCCTTCTGCAGGCACCCCCCACTGCAGGGAGTAATGTTAGGTTGTGTGATGAAAGCTCATCTGCACACCCACAAAGGAGCATAGGGAGATGATGACAGGAAAGGGAACCCTAACAGCCCTGCCAGGCTGCTCCCAGGCTCCCATCCCAGGAGACATCAGCCTACCAAGGACCCATCTCCATAAGCCCCGAGGAGCACAGTCGCACAAGGGCAGATGGGAACCCAAATTATGGACTCACAAGAAGGGAAAACCTCTCTGAGCCCCTCCCAGGACTCTTCCAGGAGAGCCTCAGCCCCAGGGTACAGGGAAGAGCCCATCAAGATCAGTCAGGGGGAGAGGCTTCCAAAAGCAGCTTCATAACTGAGGGGGGTGGTTTCTGCCTAGGGCTATGGGACCATTATGGGATGCAGGAGAAGATAATTTGGGGTTTGCACTAGATTTATGTGATGCTTAGGGGAAGAAGAAACAGCAGGGAAAGGGAGGGATCTAGAAACAAATACGAGAAAACAGATAAAGGGATAAAATGGGCTGGTAGCATGTCAAGAAGTCGTTGATCAGTATGGTTGTCTGGCCATGCCCTGCTCTTATTGTGTGCAGCCTGTCCTGTCTTCTTGTTAAATTCAATTTCTAACTGTTTTCTGGCATGAAAGATGCCCTATTCTGGGTGCATGTGTTTCATGATGGAGGTCCAAGTGCCAGGAACTGGAGACACCAGAATGAGTGAAATCAAAGTGAAGGTTTCCACAATTTCTTTCTGTTTTGCTTCACAGAGTCATGGCAGACTGCACTACCACCTATCAAACTGGCCATCTTGAGCTCAGTACAGAGAGAGAGAGAGAGGTTTAGGGGGTGCTTGGGTTCAGGCAAGAGGGCCAAGGCCTTAGCAAGCCAGCTCATGGGTTGCTCATTCCCAGTGTGGCTGAAGACCTCTTAGATTTGGGGTCCAAGCAAACCTTCTAGGGCTAGAAACATCTCTAGCAAAGGGAAGGAGCAGATAGAATTCTGAAAAGCCCAATTGTCAGTCCCAGGTGCATTAGCTATAAGGTTTGGCTGTGGTTTAGAACTAAATACATTCGTATTCAGTCTCCCTTGAACACCCTTCCCTCCATCTGCAACCCTTCATGCTAGAAGGGGAAGGCTGGGGCATTCCTGCTGCAGAGCTGATCAAGACAGTGATGCTGGAGAGGCAGGAGAGATGCCACCACTGCAGAGCAGAAGGCAAGCTGTACAGAAGCCTTCAGTGCAGATCGCAGTGTCGTACCCGTTTTACCTCCATTTACCCGAGGTCTTTTTCCTGTTTCTGAGGACTCTCAAGGAACTCTCAAGCTGTTTCTGAGCATAGTGCTGTGGCCCTTCTGGAAGTCCAGATAGACATCCTGGCACACGGTGCAAAACAGTCTGCAACCCTGCTCTGCGAATGCCCTGCAAAGACCACCCTAGCCAAAGAGAGAGACCAACCTCGGGGAGCCTGGTGTTCAGCACATGCCACTTGGCAGCCCCAAAGTTTGGCAAATGACACTCAACCTTTGCTCTCAGCTCTGCGAGCCCACTGATGGCTTCCATGAAGTGTTAGACTGTGGAAAGAATTAATATTATTCTGGCAGATGGCGGCATCAAAGGGTTGAAGAACATTAACATCAAACAATTATTTGTCTCAAAGTCCACACCTATTCCATAATAGGAGCCATCAGCCCGCCAAAGATCCATCTTCACATGCCCTGGGGAGCACAGGGGCACACAGAACTAAAGACCTATAAAATTTATTTATTATTGTTTTTCTCCAGTTGCAATAGCTCATCTACCTAGACAAGGGAAGAGAATGAGTAATATGTGATCTTGCATGCACTACAGTCATAAACACTGAGTAACTATTGAAAATCCTTGGTCTAAACTGTTTCATAGGAACTAAGAAATAAATAAATACATTGGGAGAGAATAACTCTTTAATATCTGTTAAATGCTTTTAAATGCAGTAATATCCGCTGAAGAGTTACAACCTCCCACGCTGTGGCTGAAAAGGAAATCTCTGGGTTCTAATTGGCCTTGGGCCCGGGGCAATGTTACTTTCTCTTATTGGAAGTTGGATAAAGGTTAGTGGGTCTTTTTCTCTTCTGCTAGAAATAGCAAGAGCAACATTAATCCACAGACATGAAAGATCAAGTTCTGCTCTGACAGATGGAAGGAACGAAATACGGAAAATCAGAAAGAAGTATGGACAGTGAAGTGAGAAAAGAGAAACTGAAAGCAGTTACATTATATTTTGGTATTGTTTTTATCCAACCTCTTGTCAACCCCTTTCTCCCTTCAATTAGTATGCTTTTTTTCTTTTGTAATAGTACATTTCTTCTACAATATAATTTCTTTTCTCTTATCCAGCTTCCATTCCAGCTTCTGCTAATCTTCATGACTATTGCGTTTGTAATTCTATCATCAATCACCTCTTACAGAACAGTATTTATTCCTCTCCATATAGAGTTGATAAGAGTTTTAAACATGAGTGGGTCATAAAGCTAATTTTAAAGTGGGATTTTTACAAACATATGCTGCTGAATTTCGCATTGAAATGTTCTGAAATGAGATGATGAAATTTGAAAGATAACTGGGTTTCTGAATTCCTTGTCATTGTTTCTGTATGGAGTGTATAGAAAGGATATTGAGGGGTTTCATTTTCATTGAACTTTTTAAAGATTTCTTGATTTTTAAAAAATGTTATTATTTGTTTTGGGTTTTTTAACGTCATAAATTCCATCCTTGCTCTGGAAGACTCAGTAGATGACTGAAGAACAAGCAGGAAGCTAATGACTTGAAGCAATGAGATAAAACCAAAGCAGTTGAAATACGTAAGTACATTAAGCCACGCTGTTTGCTGATCATGGTTGCTTCCTATTTTTAACACAAATTTGACAAAAAAACTCCGACAAACACTCATCAGAAAAAAATGTCTCCATCACAACTGAAGTAATATTCCAACTCAAGTCCTCT